TTTCTCTTTCTTTTTTTTTTTTTTTTTACCAAAAAGGTGACAGGATTAGAGTAGGTGATTACTCAGGCCCATTTCCAGCCCTGGCATTCTGCACTTTGGGTCAAAACTCTGAACTAGGGCATTCTGTGTCATCCAGGTGGGAATTGCCCCTCTCATCACTGAAGCTCAGGGCGGGGTGACAGAGACACCCTCTTTGTGCAGTCAACAAAGATAAGCTTGCCTTCTTTAAAACAAAGAAGTTGAGAAGAATGCAGGGAAAGTACCTTAGAAGAATATTATGTTTGAGAATTTAAGCTCCCAAGTCAGGAAATTGGCTCCTCATCCCTTGGCAACTTCCTTGAGATTCGCTGCACATCCTGCTGGCAGGCAAGCAGCCCCAGCTGTGGGCGGGAGGGGGCAGGGACTGGGAATCCTTACCTTGATCTTGGCCTGATGGGTGTTTCACTTCTCCGAGTTAATGTCTGTTCCTTATTGGTACATTATCTTGTAGCAAGGTAGTCATTTATAATTTATATACTATGCACCGGCTTAAAATAGAGACAAGAGGATAATCAGCATCCCAAAGTTTTCCAAAATAGCATTTCTTCATTGTAGTCTGTAGGAATTCACCTGCTGTGAATGAAAAAAACAACAAAAACCCTTTGTCCTATTGTTTTTACTGACCCACCAGGCCAGGTCTGGGAGCTTTCTGAGGGGGGAGGAGATCAGCCTTTTTTTTTTTCCTTAATAAAACACCTTTATTTTGTTTTCTTTTATTCAACATAGCAGCTAAAGGCCTTCACCAACCACTGTTGTGACAGTGGGGGACAGGAGCGGAGGTGGAGGACAGATAGGAGAAGCGGCCCAGTGAAGGACAGTGGGTACAGGCCTCGCCCACATGTCGGCTGTGGGTTTAGTGCTTGCCCATCTCACTAGCTGCTCTGCTCAACCGTGGCAGCAGACAGGAGGAGGAGGGATGGGCTATCCTGGTAGCGTTCCCTGGGGGAACTCACCGATCATTCACATCTAGGCAAAGTGGAAGGCCGCCCTGGAAAATCCCTGTGGACTTAGGGTTTAGCAAAAGCCAAGGAGATATCAGAGGTCTCGCTTTTGTTTTTTTAACCCCTTTGGTTTTTCAGGCTTTTGTAAAAGTCTCTAACTCTGATTTTTGTTTCCATGTTCCCAGTCTGGTGCCTCTGAAGTGCCCCAGGACTTGGGGCAGGATTCTTAAGGAGGGCAAGAAGACAAGGGCTGCTTCAGTTGAGTGCTCTTGTCTGGAGACCTTGCATTTCCCAAGGTGGCTTTTACCGGGGGTTGGGGGAGTGTGTGTGTGTGTGACACGTGTCGCTTGTGATCGTAACTGGGCCTGTATGTGCAAAGGTGCCCCCGACATTTGGGGTGGGGGCAAGCAGCAGCCAAGGGGGAGCGTAACCACAGTTGGCCTGAATAAGCATGAACGCCACAAGGTGGCAACGTTTTCTAAGCTGCCGGCCATTCTCTTTCCCCCATTAAGGTGTTGAATTTGCTCTTGTGGCTACAAGATTGAAGAGACAAGAAACAGGTTTAGCAGCCATTGCTTCAGGTCCTTTTGAAAGTGAGACTATGGGGTACACAAACTACAGGATATTACTGTCTATATGTCACTTTGGTTTCCATACTGAGAGTTGGAAATTGCTCTGTGAGACTAAGGTGAGGTGCTGCCCCTCTGGCCTCAGCTGCACGTCCATGGTAGGAGAGACCTGTAATTGAACTGACTAGGCTAATGGTTCTTTTTCCTCATGCTTTATGACTTTTGCTACCACTTCCTCCCCAGTATTGCCTTTAAAAAGCTTCTAGCAAATTCAGCCTTTATATTAAAACAGAACTAAAACTACAACAGCAGCACCAGACACTCTCGTTTTATCAAAAGGCAGAGTCATGATTTTTAAAAAAAAGAAATAAAATCAACAACAACAATAAAATCCCAAGGCAATTAATGTCCTTAGAAGCTAGCCATCTTCCTGGGTTAACTCCAGAGACTTGACTCCCTAAATGAGCTTGCTTATTTACCAGCTTTCCTAAATTAGCAGCTTTGGGGATATTAAGATCTGTAAGAAACTGTCCAAGGGAGGTATTGTGTATGCTTTGCAGTGATTAAGCCATTAAGCTCTAATTGGTATTTTCCCACTCCTGGTTTTGTGTAGGAAGCTTTAAAATTATTTAGGAATTCCGTGCTCATCAGCCAGTCATTATGTTCTCCTCCCATTTTGGAGCCTGAGAGTAGAGGACAGGTTTTCACACGAGTGGACCATGCCTTTTGCTTACAAAGCCCTTCCCTGTTGGTTTGTTATCTTGCAGATGAAGTGGAAAGGGAAGGACCTGTTTGATTTGGTGTGTCGGACCCTGGGGCTTCGGGAAACCTGGTTCTTTGGACTGCAGTACACAATCAAGGACACTGTGGCCTGGCTCAAAATGGACAAGAAGGTCGGGCTGGGACTCCGTGAAACCAGAGGGGCTGGCACGTTCTCCTCTGTCTATTTCCTGAGCATCGAGCTCGTTTGTTCCTAGGGATGGGGAGAGATGATACAAGGAAGAGGCAGGCTCCTGAAGTAGGCGACTCCCCGGATCCAGTTGCCCAGAAAGCGGGTCCCTGGAGATGCTGCATGGGTCTCTGGCCCTCACAGAGTTGACCAAAGGCACAGAATTCACCACCATCAGACTGCAGCCAGCCCTGGCTCATGTATCCATGGTCATCAAGCTGATGGCTCTGGCTTTATGCCCTTCAGTTTCCTGAACCACCAGTCAGAATTAGTTACCTTCTCTCTCCCTCTCTCATCTTTTGAAGATTCTCTTGGGGCTCATATTCTTTAAGGAATGTTTAACAGTCTCTTTGAGAAATGTGAATGAATTCATTATGAATGCATCCCGAGGGAGTGAAGATTACCCTGGTCCCAGCAGTGAAAGAAAAATACCCGTTTTGTCCTCAATATTTTCTGGGGTTTCTGAGGCCCGGTGAAGGCTGGCCTCCCAGCCACCCTAATAGGGTTTGGAAACAGATACTGCTTAGGGGAATTACCCTCCAGTAGGTTCACAGGTACACACAAAGTCCCACACCTGCCTGTGTAACCAAGAAGGTGGTTGGGGAACAGGGCCATATACTTTGATCAGTCACTTTTGAAAGACACCTGCATCCCAAAGTAAGTCAGTGTCTAGTTCTTAGCTCAAATTAAATCCCTACCCTGGCAATTGCCCACCTGAAGTTACTATCTGCTACATGCAGGGTAAATAATGAAAACCTCTTCTTTTACCAGTTTTACTCAAATATTCAAATTGTATTGCGATATGAACCCAGTAATCTGGATCTTCACATTGGAATTCCTGCTGGTGGTAGATTTCATGGTGGGTATTGCCATTGAAATGCCATTGTTAGTGTCTCTGTCCCAAGATCAGGTTTATTGTGCATCTCCTGGGCACTGGCACCTGGAATTTCCGCAGGAGTGTAGATTGTTCTGTATCAAATCAGTAAAACCTCTCTTTTTGTGATTCTCTGCCAAGTACATTTTGAACTGTACGGGGGAGTTGGCCAAATGGAGCTAGATCGGGGGCAGCGGGGCCATGGAGCCTGCTGCTCACAGGAAATAAATGATGCACATGATAATGGGACCTCATAGCATGTCATATGGCATGTTTATGTCTTGAACTAAAGTGCAGTCTGGAGAGCAGACAGTTCAGCCTTGTCAGGGGGTAGATGGATTTGTTAGAAGGTTGAGTGCACTGGTTACTGACTGTGTGCCAAGCACCCCGTGGGGCCTCTCAGGAAGCTCCTTGAAATAAAAGGTTGTCTTGATGGGCACGTGGCACTTTTGTTGCTTGGTAAGCATGGAGCTGACTACATCAGAATGTGGTTCATCATCTCCAGGCTCCAGTCCAACATAGACCTCAATATTGGAAGTGGGCAGCAAGAAAAAAAATAAAGGAAGATTCCATTACATTAGAACATTTTAGAACCTTCATTATAGACAGCTAGTGCTTAAGACTTTTGCATTTTAAAGTCTTAGTTTTTAACTCTTTCTTTGATCTCAAGAACATCGTGTGCCTTAGTAATCTTAGCTCCATTCACTGGGGGTGGGGGTGGGGGTGTGTGTCAGATAGTTATTATACTTGGCTTCTTAAACACCACATGAAATAAATGCCACTACTTGTTACACATGACTTTGGGACTGCTTCCAACTACCGAGTCACAACCACTAGGAAATTTGTACAATTTCAAGAAGAAAAAATGGCCACGGGGCTCCCCGGCAAAGGCCCTTTGGTGATGGTGCCACCAAGATAGGGTGCTTTCTTAACCTGTTGCTCTTCAACTCTGCAGGTGTTGGATCACGATGTTTCAAAGGAGGAGCCAGTGACATTTCACTTTCTGGCCAAGTTTTATCCAGAGAATGCCGAGGAGGAGCTGGTTCAGGAGATCACACAGCATCTGTTCTTCTTGCAGGTACATACCGACCAGTCCCTGCTCCCCTCCTGATTCTGGGACAACTCCAGCAGGCAGCCGCAGAGCCGGCCTGGGAGAGCCCTTCGGAGCTAATTGGCCACCGACACCTTCGCATTGTGAAAATGCTCTGCCTCCGGAAAGTCAGCCCCTCTGGTTCTGTGATGGAAAAATCTGCAGTACAGAACCGTACTTGCGAGATGAGAATTGGTGTCAGATAAAATTGCAAAAGTGTGATGCTGAAAAAAACGGATGCTGCCTAACTTACCTTCCCCTTGAAGATGGAGCTAACTATCAAAAAAAAAAAAAGTCTTCTGTAGTTGCAAAGGATGAGTAGAGAGGGATTCTTTAAAAAAACACCAGTTCTCTCAAAAGTCCACAATCCGCTCTCTTCAGTTCAGTTGCACAGACCCATGGTGACACTGGGTTCATGCCACGCATGTGATTCTTCCAACACCAAGCTTCTTTCTACTCTGTGTAATTGTCTTCTCTCTCGCATACTCCCTCATTAGATGGTAAACCCCTTACAGGTGAGGCTCATTGAGTACCCGGTAGGCATTCCATAAGTAATTGCTCAACTGAGTTGACGAACTTAGGGGATCATCGACTGTCTGGGGGCCTGAGTGGGGAAGGCAGGGGGAAAGCTCTCTGGCTGTCTCACTTGTAGTCTGGCTGCTTGGTCAGACTCAGTCCCCGGTTCCAGGGTCAGTTGGAGTGTGGGGACTGGGGCTGTTTCATGAGCCCAAAGGTGCCCGCTGCCCGTAGCGTCAAAGCTTGCAGCAGGGGCTGCTCATGACACGAGTTTCCAGAAGTGGGTGTGCAGCCCATCACGTGGCCCTCCTGTAATTAGTCTGAGCCTAAGTATATTGTGTTCAGTAAGGGGTAAGTTAAATGTAATCAAACCCCTGGACTCATTTCTTTTGCAAAACAAGTTTGCCACTCGTTCCAACCTTTTCAGGTCAATTTTGATTTTTCTGTAGCATTGTTCAGCCACCTCGCCTGCTTCTGAAAAAGAAACCAAAGAGTTGGAAAGCTACATTGTTTCAGAACTATTCCCGGTTTGATTTTCCCCGTAGAAATATAGAATCTGTTTCAAACCTGGGAAGGCGTTTGCCTTTGAATGCAAGCACATGGCGCAAAAACGGTAAGCACTTGAGTCTGTGCCAAAAGGGCGGTGTTGTGAACCTCCCCAGAGGCACCTTCGAAGCCAGGCCTAGTGAGCTGCAGAGCCGGGAAAGCCTTACGAAGGGCAGTTCTGTGACGTGTGTGTGTGTCTGTGTGTGTTCGTGTTCGTGTTCGTTCACTAAGAGTGTGATTTGACCTGAAGGCTACTGGTACCGGTACTGGTAGACCCCACAATGCCCTGGAGTTTTGGATTTAAATGGCTTTCTTGCAAATTACTTTGAAACAGGGTCCATCCTCATGTGACTTTGTCCTGTGTTCCCCTGTACTGACGTATTGGGGCGTTTTGTGGCTGAGCAAGGGTCTGGGTGACTGTCAGCCTCTGTGCAGAGACATGGCTCTCCTGCGATGTTTATTTCAGAGAGCTGCTGCTTCATGGGGCTCTCCTGTCACGTCACACCGCACTGCACCATTCTTAAGAAATTGAGTGCAATGAGATATGTTAACTCAACATTATGGCTTACAATGTATATTTCCTGGACCTTACGTGCACTTAGAAATGTTATCGATCAGACTTTATGGCTTCCTTCTTCCTCAGCCCAGGCACATAGAGTGGTGATTTTTCCCCGCAGTCATAACTCAGTGGTCTTGGCAACTTCTGTCTTGTACTGAGACTTTAAAAGCAGACTTCATTTCCTCTAGTGTTGAGTGTGCCCAGCAGGGGCTGGGTCTGCAATCACCACCCGCACGGCTCCTGATGCTCCTGTGTTCACAGCTCTTCTTGGTCACAGCCCGATGTCACTCTGTGTTTTAACCACGAAGATGTTTTTCACCCTTCAGCCTGTGATCCTGAAGAGATGTGATAGGGGGGGTTTTAGGCGCAGCCATCTTACCAATGACTTCTCAGTGACTGAACTCCCAATCTGTCTGCACTTGTGAAAATTGGTCCCCTCCGTCAGAACAGGGCTGACAGGCCGGTTTGGGGGCCCTGGTGAGCGTGGCTGTCTGCTGTGCCTGGCCTGCACACTGTCCTCCCACACCACGGTCTCATTTCTCTTTTGTTGACCCTTTCAGGTAAAGAAACAGATTTTAGATGAAAAGATCTACTGCCCTCCCGAGGCTTCTGTGCTCCTGGCTTCTTACGCGGTCCAGGCCAAGGTAGGCTCAAAGCAGAGAGACACCCCTTCTTCCTGGGCATTCATGCTTGTCACGAGATTTCTCCTGTCGCCTGTGTCTGTGCATAATTTGGACTTCAGAGACTTGCCCCACAATGTGAGATGTATGGGGCTTGGGGGACCACAGTAGTGGTCCTACTTGTTTGTGATCTTGAGAGAGAGAGAGAGTAGATAACATGATCCCTTTTTTTCTTTTTTAGAAAGCATCTCATTGACACATAGCAGACATACAGAAAAGTGCATGGCTCTGTGGATATTCTTTCTGTGTCCCTACGTTTTTCACAATTACAGTCACGGGATCAGCCTCTTTTTATTACAGGCATGCCTTGCTTAATGTCCACGATCCACTCTGTGGATTTGGATGTTGTGTGAACACCACGTAACATATAGGCAGTTCCTGGATTATGGAAGAGTTCCGATCCTAAATCCGTCTTTAAGTCAAACTTGGCCATGAATAGTTAGTTAGGAACAGTTTGCATCAACATCAGTGAGTCAAATGAACTCACTGCCCCTGAGTCGATTCTGAGTAGAACGGCCCCTTTGAATTGCTGAGGCCACATCTTCACCCAAGCAGCTGGTGGGTTCAAAGTGCTGACCTTGCAGTTAGCACCCTAGTGTATAGCGCATATGCGACCAGGACTCCCAGTGTTTGTTATGCCGTGTACTTTTCTATGTCTCAAAAACATTAGGGAAGCACTTCTAGATAACCTTTCACATAATAATACAGTGATACAGTGTTTTGATGTGTATCTCAAGGTAGCACCTGTCTGTTATTATGCGCCATTGTGTGTACCTCAAATTTTTAATCTAGTGGACTTTGTGGTAGGGACACCATGGATATAGTCACCATTGGATGTTGCCTGAATGGATGTTATGTGGCATAGGACTGTAATTAGAAAAAAAATGAGTTTTTGGTCTCCAGTTTTGACTAAACCTGGCCTTGAGGTTGAGGTCCTCATTTTAAGCTCATTTGTGGGTCAGTGCCACCCCCTTAAAGAAGCCCCTGCTTCATTCCCTGCCAGCAGTGCCCAGGCCGTGGCTCAGCTCTGCAGGCTCTGTGTCCTCTGTGCCCTGCTGAGCTGTCTGGTTGGCTGAAGTCTTTTTTTTATTTTTTATTTTATTTATTTTTTGTTGTTGGCTGAAGTCTTTCGTGAGAAACCACTCCAGGCTGGGAGGGCCCCGGAGGGAGCTGCAGGCTGGGGCTTTGTCCTTGCGGTTTATATATATCAACCAGCCAGGTGCTTCCATGTCCTTCCTTTTCTTACCTCGGGCACACGCCCCTTTGCTTGGTCCCCTGCTCCTGCCTTTCCCTGCAGCGTAAGAGGTCCCTAGAGTTGGGTGCCCGCTAGCTTTTGGAAGCACACTGGTTTCGGTTATTAGTTTCCTTTTTAGTGGCCGGTGTCCTTCCGTCAAGTTGTTTTCTTGTAATGCTGGACACACTGATAAGATACTCTTGACCTCAAGGGCTCAGGCGGGAGGGGGGAGGGGGAGGGAGGGGGAAAATGAGGACCTAATGTCGAGGGGTTTAAATGGAGAGAAAATGTTTTGAGAAACGATGTACAAATGCGCTTTACAC